GAAGGAATTGGAGTCGAGACTTAACGCGGGGGAAGGGGAGGCGGCCGGACGATCGACTGGACTTACTGAAGAGGAATTCGATAGAGCATCGAAGATTATTGGTGATGATGATGTGATGGAGGTGTGGTATCGAATAGATTATCTTTTAGGTGTTGCATCTGTTCGATACTTTGACCTTCGCCAAAACAGAACTACCAATTACATATTCAATTTCGATAAGATGCTCGACCCGAAGGGCAACACTGCGGTCTTCCTACTTTACGCCTACGCCAGAATTTGCAGTATCCTCAGGAAGGCGAACTTTGATTATCAGTAAAAACACATAACAACTTCATTTTCGACATCTCCTCCGATAATCATCAGTTCGGGTCTCGACTACTCATCTGAAGAAGTCGTCATCACAGAGGAGAAGGAGCGGTCCTTGGCTTTGGAGATCCTCCGCTTCGCTGAAGTGATGCAGTCTGTTCTCTCAGACCTTCAATGTCATCGACTTTGTGAGTATATGTGGGACCTCACCAACAGGTAATCATCATACCACACCTTCGTCTAATCATCCACCATCAATATCCCCCTTCAGGTTTACTGCCTTCTATACCGAGTGTAAGGTCGTTGGATCAGACCAAGAGCGTTCCCGACTTTTACTCTGTGAGGCCACCAGACGTGTTTTAGCCCAGTGTTTCGACATCCTCGATATCACACCTCTCGAGAGGATCTAATCCTTTGTACAGTCCTCTACAACCACTGTCGTGATAACGTTACACTTCTTTCTGTTCCCATCTCCGGTTTTTGAGTTCACATGTATAATTGCTACACCTCATGAGTTACCGTGACCAGGAAACCGTTGAGAAAAGCAAGCAATTAGTGTTGCGATAGTCCTCGAGGCGAAACAGTAAACAATTGGCATCAGAAAGCTTGTGATGATAGTATTGTCCTCGTGGTGTCTAATAATGAACATCATAGTACTCTCAAGTCGATTACCTCCTGCTCGCCGCAGTATGTGCGTAAACAACACTTCTGACACACTTAACGCGTATCCAACTAAACCTCCAAGCACATGATTTTTTTCTTCATCACGAATTTGAAGGCCAAGACCAAAACACGCGTCGTTTTGGTAAAACGGACAGTCACTATACAGCGAACGCGTGCTGGTTTGCAGCGTCTACCACCACGTCTGTCGTATACCGTGGTCAATGCCGTTTCGATCAACCCATACATCCAACACCAAGCACAAGGCCGTCTTCTGCATATCTGATGTTCGCGTGACATCTTAGTTGTATTATGAACTTCGACATCAATGGTGTTAAGTCATTTGATATGCGTTGACCAATGGCAGCGCCATCAGTGTGAATGCCTCCAAGTCCAACTCACCATAGATAAGCCTGCGCCTGTTCCGAGTGTGGCAATTCAACACTTTGATCGTGAGCTTAGTGTGTTACAGCAAAACACATAAAAGCTGCCCTCAAAGTCGCCACTTTAAAACGCAAGATTCGATGGTCAAACGTGTGTGTGGAATATGAATAGCCTACCTCTGATCGATAGAGTCATGCTGATGAGGTAGAGTTTGATTCATAGGGAGGAAGGGCTTCTGTGCCGACACCGGCAGGCCCACTCGACAAGCCAACTGAAATCAGACGCCAATTAACGCATGAACGTGTCCTGCTGATCTTCCTCATCGGCGAACGATTTTCTAGCTTCTGAACTATCTACTCATTCCCCTATCAATTTTGTAGAGATAAAAAATCGCTCGATATGATGACAGGATCAGTATGGATGTAAAGCACTTATCCGCTTAGTAAAGGCCGATGTGTTCTATCACTACTGCCAAGTACGGCCATTAGTAAAATAATCAGAAAATAGTCGCTGCTTCCCCGC